GCGCTGCAGTGTGCCTCAGTGCTCTGCTGCAATGTGCGGCCGGCTCTGCTGAGGGATATCCCCAGGCGGGCGAGTAGGTGGGCGCCCCGATTCGTATGCAGCTTGGTGCGGATCCAATCCGCACCTGCTTACCTTGCGGGGGGGCTTCAGAAATCGGCGCCCGATGGGCGCCTCGATTTTTGGTCCCCAGTCTCATGGTGGACGCACGGTGGGCGAAATCTTTCGCAGAAGACCCACTTTAGAGCCGCCCAGCGGCCCAGGGTGCCAAGCGTGCCCGCCGATCCGATTCTGGAGACAAAGGGAGGCAACTTGAGGCAGATTCTCTATTATCCACTAACTTACTCAGTGTCAGTCTGTTTGTTGTAAAAAACCTTCATGCGCCTGTTTGAGTCATCAAGCATCTGCAACGCAGCGAGTTCCCGCTCATCAGCGGAATCATTTTTGGCGGCGTTTGTCATATCCTTACTTTCATTCTAATACCCGCGGACGAAGAAGAAGGTGCCACACTAGGAGCGCCGGCTAAGACGGTAGAGCTGCCACTTTCGCGGCCTGGCATCATCCAGGACCCTGACATTAAGACAGGAAGACGCTTCGGCCCACCATCGTCGGCACTCCTTCCCTTGTAGGACAGCTGCTAGCCATTGGCACATAGTTCGTTTCGTTGCCCGTTTCGTTGGTCGCTCTGAACGGCAGGCGTCTTGTGTCACCTGTTTCCAAAGTGGTGCCAGTATGTCGCAGCACTGTCCGCCCAATAGATTCTTGGTTCCGTTTTCGAGTAGTTGCATGAGCCGGCGCTTGCTGTATCAGATTGTCATAGGACAACTGGAGGTGAAGCGCGCTCGCCTATATTCAAGCGGATTAACGTACAGGAGATCCACCGGGCCCCCCGTTGCCCCCGCGCCGGACCCTCGCCGGACCACCTCCCGACCAAGCCCACACCTCCCACGGGCAAAACGCTGCGAAGGCGCAAAGGGAAGCTTCTGGGGCCTCCGGCCGAGTCCCCCTTGGGGGTCGGCCGCCTTGGGGTCGGGAGTGGGTATCCACGAGGCGGCTCAAATGGTGCGGCAAAGGTGGCGGCATGTGGTGGGGCCGCGGATGCTTTAGTCCTCTGCAATCGCGGGCGGGCCTAAACAAAGGCGCGCGCGGAGGTGGATGGGCTGACGGGCGGGCTGGTCTTCTGAGTGTAGCCCGGGCGGAGATGGTGGTGGGCCGCGAGGTCGTACTTAGCCCTTTTGTTGGGGGTGGCTTGATTTGAGGCAAGTTGCGAGCGGGGTTGCGGTGGGGGGAGATGATGCTTGAGCCCGGCTGTAGGCAGAGCAGGCGTGCGGGCGTGTTGCTAGACATCATAGTGGCCGAGCCTGGTCGGCGCGTGCGGTTGGGTGGTTCGATGTGGTTGGAGGCGGGCCGCAGTGAATGGCCGCCGAGATCACACGCCAGAGGGTGTGGGCAGTCCTTTTTTAAAAGTGGCAGGGCTTGGGCCGACCCAGTCTTGTCGGTAAGTATTTATGTCAAGTAGTAGCTGCTCAGGGACTTTCATATAATAGGATGCTTATGACATGCCGGCGGTGAGGCATCAGAATCAGCCACGACAGGACGGAGGACACAGGATGAAAAAGCTGCCCAATGTTTCTAGTCTGATATTTTCCGTGCTGGTTAACTATATCTACATCTATATCTATATCTGCAAAGAGTACTGGCACGCCAGCAATAACTACTGCCAAGGCAGAACAAAGTGCGTACGAACACAGAGCGCCAGCGCTAGGCAAGCGAGTAGCGTCATAGGATACAAATTTATAGAACGGACGCAGGATGGGCTTGGCTTGGCGATCGGATGGACTTGGTGGGCCCCTAAATCTTCGGGCCCTACTCTGCCACCTCGATAGAAAGGCTGCTCGGGTACAAATTGAATATCTGGTGAGGAGTATCATTTATTAGATTAATGCTGACTGTCACTGTGAGGGCGAGTGTAGGCGTCTAACCAGAATGAAGTCACCACTTTGGGCTTCTGGTGCGATGGGAAAAAAATGGCGAGCCGGGGGGGAATGTTTCATGTCTTGACTTATGGCTTTCGCTTGTCATTTTTTCTAGGTAGGCTCACTCTAGCGCTGGGCCGCGCCTTTTATGAGTCAGCACGCGCTTGCCTGTCCACCGGTGGTTGTTTTGTCGCGCTGTTCTTGTTTGCAGCTGTGTGGTTCGTGGTCTCAGCGCCCACCTTCTGGGATGTCGTTGCTCTACCTTCTCTTTCTTCTCCAACTTAGGCTGGGCCGGGCAGGTGGAGTCCCCTGGTGTCTAGGGCTTAGTCACCTCTAGAGGCTGAGGGCGTTGCCGATTTAGAGGTAGCAGTTAGCTGCTACTCTTCTAGCGAGGAAGCGTTTCTTGTCTTTTTTGATTTCACCACTCTCTTACCTTTTGCGGGGGCGCAAGTACAGCCCACAGAGTGTGCTAGCTGTCATTGCGCTTTTTATTTCTGCTCTCCTCTGTCGCCGTTCAGTTCACCTTCACATACTTCTGACAGAATGGGGCCTCGGCTGTTCCCTCTCCCTCGCTTCTTTGACGTATGTTCAGAAGGTCTTGAGGCGGGAAAGGTGCGGGGCAGCCTTTTTGGCTGCTAATCCAGTCGAAGTAGGTCCGCTGGCGCAGGGCGAGCGACGTCATCTGCCCCGGCGGCGCTCGTTTATTGTTGCTTCGGTGAATGTGTGTGCGTAGCATATAATTATTATATTCCAGGGCTCTGGGCTGAAGGCCTCCCGGGGCCCCCCGATCTGAGTTTTCATTTTAGGGGGTGCTTCGGCCCTGGACCCTTTTTCTCGAGTGTCGGGCGGGAAGGCCTCTAAGGGCCGAACTTCGCACCCGCCTCGCGGCTTCTTGCACCTTACAAAGCCCGCCAAGCCCTTGAGGCTGTTCAAGCGCCGACGGCTGGGGGTGAGATGCTTCTGAAGGCGGCAAAGGTGGCGAGGCTTGGCCCCCTTGCTCTGTTGCGTGTACCCTACAGACCTCCCGGGTGCGGGCTCCTCACCGGGGGAGTGTCTTGGCGGGTGGAAGGCCGCGGGGGGCAGCAGGTGGCAAGGCTTGACCGTTTCTGCCGTGCTGCATGTATCTGACAGAACCCAGGCGCCAACACCTTGCCCCCGCCTCTCCTCGCCTTGGGTCTTCGACCACCCAGGTGCTTTGCCGCGGCTGACGCTGCCACCGGTTAGGGGGATGAGGGCCGACGGAGCTAGGCTTCGCGACCGTGGCCGCTTTCGGCGGCCTTCTGCCACCGGAGGCTGTCCTCTTGAAGATGGGGTCAAGGAGTCGGGACGCTTGTGGGGTACACGCGCAGAGACGCAGGGTGGGAACACTGGCTCTGCCTTTTGAGTCCTTTGTTCCTGGCAATCCTTGCACGCCCCCCCCCGCGGAAAAGAGGACGCGCTGACGCCATCGCCGCTCCATCCACAGGCGGGGGCCTTCCTCCTTGGTAAATATTTAGGCATCGGCATGGACGTTCCAGGGCCCAGGGCTCGAGGCCCTCACCTATCTAGGGAGGCGGTGGGGAGGCTCGCTTTAGTCCCGGGCCCTCTTTTTGGAGGATTGCCGGGCGGGACGGCCTCCAAACGCCCACCGCCGCTCCGCTGCGGCTTCTTGCGTGTACTCTAGAGAGCCTTAATCCTTGAAGCCGTTCAAGCACCGGCGGCAGGGGGAGCTGGAACTTCTGAAGCAGGCAACGGCAAAGGTGGCAAGGCTTGACCCGTGTGCCCTACATATGTATCCGACAGAACCCAGCCGAGCTTGCTTGTCCCCGCCGCTTCTCCTCGCCTTTGGTCTTCAGCCTCCCCGGGCGTGTGGCTGGTGGCCGCTGGCGCTACGACTACTTGAGGGGATGAGGGCAACGCAGCAAAAGGGGCCAGGCTTCGCGACTGTAGCCGCCTTTGCCGGCTTTCTGCCCCCGGAGACCCTCTTCGCGATAGGGTCCAAGAGATGGGACCTTTGGCGGGTACAGGGGGAGAGCTGCAAGGGGAATCTGGCGGGCTCTGCCTTTTGGGGCTCTCTTCCCGGAAATCCGCACACCACATCGGCAAAAAGGGCGCGCCGACGCGACCGCAGCAGCCCCATTCAAAGTAGATGGGGAGAGGGGCCTCTTGTCTCCTGGGGACATATATAAACATAGACACCCTTCTCGGAGGCGAAGGGGGTGAGGCTCCCTGACTTGTACAGAAATTTGCTCGTATCTTTGGCACCCGTACTATAGGCTGGGGCATGCGCTTCAAAGTTTACTGTTAAAGAGGAAGCATGACACACAGCACGCCATACATGAATCAGACAGATCGAAGGGCTGACGAAAGTACCCGCTCGTTGGGGCCGTCTCGTCTCATCAGTGAGCGGCAGAGGGGGTCCACTAGAGTGAGGCTACAGCATGCAGGCTATGTTGAGAGCTTTAATGTAGGAGTGCTGTATATGTTGTGGCGCAGACTCTAGCGGATGGGCCTCCCGAAGACTCCGGGAAAGTTTCCTTTGCCCGGACTCTCCTCGACACCGTGGAAAAGGAGGAGAAAGCCGTGGAGACGGGTGAACAAGAGCCCGCGGCACTTGCTTCGGCCTCTTCTTCTGGTGATCCTTCTCTTAATCCTTATTCTTCTTCGATTCTGTTGCAGCCTCTGTTTGACAATCGTGCGAGAGCCCTTGTGGACCTCTCAGACCGCGAAAACGACCTGACATCTTCTTGCAGACATCCTCGCTCGAAGCAGGAGACGGCGAGTCGCCTCCGCTTATGGCTCTCAAGTTCAGGAGGGCACGCCAGTCTTTTCTTCTTGGGGCAAGAGCATGGAGCCTCTTCATCTCAGCACGTCTCTAACACTTTCTTGGGAGTGGAATTATTCTGATGTGATTGTGGAGTCATGCGATGGATCATCGCCGCCGTGAATGGCTTAAGTTGTTGAAGCAAAAGCTTTCATAAATGATGCGATTATAAAAAATGATTATAGCATGCCTGACTATGCCATTGCTTGCTCGCTAATCAAAGACCTGATAGCTGACCTAAAAAAGGGGCGCGATATGCTTGCCAACGAGGACTGGAAGGGAGGAAAATTGTTGGTAGAGACTCAGCAGAACGAACGCGCGTGGGCAGTGGGTTTTTCAACTGTCGCGATTCCCAGTGCTTTAGCCGACTGCTTGCGCGACGACGCGAAGGCACTCAAAGTTATGACCAACGACTACGAGAGGGGCCGCCCCGCTTTATTGCTCAGTTGTCCTTGAAGCCTATCCATAGCGCGGGCTCCTCTCAAATTATTTATGGCAGTAGATTCATTGCCAGCGGCCTTCTACTAAGTCTAAGACGCCGCACCCCTTTTAGCAAGCAAACAGAGGGAGAACAGGCACTACAAGAAGAGGCCTAGTTCTCGGGCCCTCCTTGTCGGGGAAGCAAAGTCTTATTCTGTCTGGCAGAAAGACCTCGGGAAACCAGGAACATTTAGGGGGTGGCGTTTTTATTTCCATCGCGCACCGGCGCAGAACACTGGCCACCCATGTCTTTTACCAGAAGATGGTTACTTAGCGCTTGGCGCGCCTCGTTGTGTGGAGATACGTCATGATTCTAATAAGAAGAAACCAGGGACGGAGCGGGCCACGATATTGACTAAGGCAGCGGCAGCCCTGAAGGGGCTCTGGAATGACATCGGGGAGAAAATAGAAAACAGCTACGGACGATTCTATCGCCTTTGCGTATCATGTAGATGCAGACTAGTAGCCATATGATGCACGCCAAAAGAGATGCTGCAAGAATGTAGGTCCACGAAAAGCCCACGGCCTTTACTTATTTGATGCGGGCTGCGACCTAATATGGCTCCGCTTGTTGTTCTAAGTAGCTATACAGGGCGGGGGCTGGCTCGCCCGGCCTCCAACTTAGGAAATGAACAGCGTCAGCTGTCAAGCAATGGGCTTACGGCCTGCCTCTGCCTCCAGTCGCCGCGACTTACTTCCACCCACGGCAGCCGCCCCCGGCTCACAGGTCGGACCCACCGGGGCTTGCAGTCGGGCCCACCTGACGTGGGCTAGCTTCTTCTCGACCTTGTGTCGCATCCCAGGCCAAGCCTACCTTCTTCGGGTCCACCGCTTACCCCACCCCTGACCCCTCGCCAGGCCCACCGCCTGCTCCACCCCCTGACCCCTCGGCACGGCTGGCTCAACGCCTGCCTCATCCCCGCAGGCCCAATCTCTGGACCCGGTCGCACTTGCACACTAACCGCAGGGCCCTCCTCTGGATTTACGTGCCCGAAACCCGCAAAACGAGGGCGCGCGCGCACTCTCTCACTTCCGCCTGCAACCCTGCCGCTTTCCCCTAACCTGGCCCGCCCTCATTTTGCTTAGCTGATGCTAGTCAGTCTTCACTTGCCTGACCCCGCAACCCTCGAGGGCGGCGAGGGCCTTGCAACCCTCGAGGGCGACGAGGGCCTTCATACAAGCGCCTGGGAAACATCGACGGAGGGGGCGCTTTCTAAATGCCATATTGAAAGGGACGGAGGAGCGGCGTGAAAGAAGTGCCTAACCTTAGCGGGGGCTTGCTAGCTAGTTTCCCACCTGTTGCTGGACCGGTTTGTTGGCTCGCTGGTTTCGTTTGCCGGCGTTGGTTACGTGGGGCTGGCTGCTCGGCCGGTCGGTCGATCTGTCGGCCAGAGGGGTCGGCCGGTCGATCAGTGGGGCTGGCTGGTTAGTCTGCTGAAGCCGATTACTGGGGGATGGCGCAGGTGCCTCGGCTTTCGGGTTCGTGAACGTCGTGGGCAATATCGTTCCAGAAAGTTTAGACTTACACGAAAGCACGCACAGCGGGCAGCATGCCCTCCGCGTGGGGCTTGGTGGGTCGGTGCGGTGGGTCGATCTGCCGGGGGAGTTGGGTCGACTGTTGGCGGGCTGATAGGCTGGCGGAATCTTGCCTCTGTGCATTTTTCTCGGCTTTGAGTACTTACTTAGTTTTTTGAACGGTGTGGGCCATATCGTAGGGCCCACAATTAGTCGGCGTGAGCAAGTCCCTACCACATGCACCAGGGGACTCGGCTCCCGTGCCTCGTGTGAGTGTGTGAGAGAGTGGTCGACTGCGGTCGGGGTGGGTCGCTTTTTCAGTCGATGAGCTTGAGCAGTGGGAGGGCTGCTTGTCGATGAGCGGGCGGCCGTGATTCCCTCCGCAAGCGCTTCCGCTTTCGGGTCTCTGAGGGAGGTCGGAGACCGCGGCGACGATGTGCAAGACGTGCGCGAAATCTTCGGGAAAAGTTGCCCGGGCTGGTCTTCGTTGTCTTGTTGATTGAAAGGCCAAACCAGGCGCCGAGGCGCCTGAGGCTGCTTTTCGTTTGTTTTGTGTTTCGTCGTTGGTGGCAGCCTCGGCGCCGGTTCGTTGTGGACCGCTCGCATGCCGCTGGCACCGGCGCCGCCCCGATGCAGTCGTGGCGCGCTGGTGTGAGCCCCTTGAAGCGTAGGGAACCGGGGCAGAGGACAGGGGAAACGCAGGCGGCGGAGCAGAGTCACCATAGGACGGCGCCAGCCATCTCGCCACGCTTGAACACCTCAGGCGGCTGCTTGTCTCTTTTCTCTCTTTAGAAAGAAGTAAAAATCTGGGTGAAAAGCTCGTGAAATCTTTGAAAAATCTTCGCGGAATCTCATCGAAGAGATGGGCGCGCGGGGTCTTGACATGGTCAAGACCTGGGGTCTCTCTTCAAACATTCCGCGGGGGTTCTGAGGGGGCTCTTGTCTCTCGTGTTTTTTTGAGGGGGGCACGAAGATGGACTGCCAGGAGCAAGCTAGCCTCCGACAATTTGCGGCGGGGGCGTATGGGCCTCCGCGCGCGTCTTGTGTCTCGACTCTTTGCGGCCTTCTCGTTCCTCTCTCCAGGCTTGTGGAGTCCTTTAAGCTGTGCACTTGTTTGGAATTTTGTCTGTCGGGTGGTTGCGTCGAAGACTGGCTCGCTTGCTTGCGATGCTCTCAGTGCAGTGGCTGGGCTGGTCGTGTGTTCTTGTTTCTGTCGGTTCGGCTTTCAGAGGCTTAGCAGAAGCCGCGCGAGCGCGAAGTGGACAGGCGCAACCAGGAGCGGCGCGCGTGAGCCCCGGAAACTTCTCGCCAAGGTTCTCGGCCGTTGGTAGTTTTCGGGCGCGGCGGTCTCCAAAAGGAGGAACGCGGTGGACAAGGTCGATCGCGTAGAAAACTAGCCAGGCCCTTACCTTCTTTGTGGCCCGCCGGGTCATCTCTAGGGACGCGCACTCCTCGCGCATTCAGCGTATGGACATTAAGCGCACGTCGCTTATCTGTTTACGTTCCCATCGCGCTGGCTTGTTTTAGTTATATCGTGAAGCTTTCTCGGTCAGGGTAGCTTAATTGCATGGCTCTCGGTTTTGGTAGCCGTAGCCTGAAATTGGTCATGAGGGTTCCTTTCTTGTTTTCCCTTATGATCAGAACCAGGCAGGCTGCCAAATATTAGATCAGTGCCCTAGTCGTGGTTTGTGTCCCGTATCGAGTCGGCACGCAGCACGGAGCGCACGGAGGGAGCGCAGAGTAGCCATGTATGGAGTTCATGGGGCGGAAGCGTTTCACCTTTGGGCATGCGTGGAGAATTTGCTGGGAGGTACAGGGCAGCGGCGGAGGCTGGGGCCCATAGGCCAGCATTCGCCTGGGGGGCGGCCCCGGCGTGTAGGTGTAATACGTGGAAGGGTGTAGATGGTGGCGCCGGGGTTGATGTCTTGGCCGTCTTAACCGACGGCAGCGGCTGGCGTTCGAGTGCGTGGCTGCCTGGGGGGCTGTGGCTGTCGGGATTTCTTAGTAAGTAGGCTCCTAGACGTTAACGTCTGGGGGACTTTCTTGGCGGTCTAGGTCTAGTAATGTTGGCACGGGTGTAGCCGGCGTGGGTGGCAATGGGGTTGCGCTGGTGTGTTGGGCTCCTTAAGGCCGCCGACGTGTGGGCCAATGAGTGGGCCGAGGGCTGTGGCGGTCGGGTTTGGCTGGTGGGTTGGATGTTTTCGGAGTTTTGCTTACTTGGTCGCTTCGTCGTCAGGGGTTCTTTGTTGCTGGTGTTGGGGTTGGTGTGTTGGGTGCCTTGAGGAAACCGGGCCGCGAACGGGTGAGCTTATGGGTGTGCGTGGCGGTCTGGTCGGGGTCGGTTGGTAGAGGGGCTAAGCGCTTGGGGTGCCTTGCTTGGTAATGTGTCGAGGTGTGGCGTACCCACCGGCGCTAGGGCTCACGCGCTGGTGTGCTAGAGTGTGTGAGGCAACAGCGCGCGAGTGAGAGGGCTGGGGGCTGGAGCAGGTGGAGTCAGGGTGGGTGCGTTAGTCGCCTGACTCGTCTCCCGGGAGTTCACCCCGCGCAACGCCTTGCAAAGTGGCTTGCTGCTTTCTTGTGAAAAGTTTGCTTGTTTTGCTTTTGTTCTTCTGAGGTGCTTTGCGGGCATTGTTGCGTCCTCGTTGGACTTGGTTCTTTGCGGTGGTTGTTTCTTAGCTTGGTGGGGCTTGTGCTTGTGAGTTTCTGGCGAGCGTGTCTGGGCAGCGTCGGCCAGCCGGCAGCGCCGTCGGCCTCTGGGTGTGTCGCATTGGGCGTCGCGTCGCCGCGTCGATTTCTCGCTGGGATTCGGGGAGCTCAGCTTTCTGGCATCGGTGATGGGTGTCCCCTTCTTGCTGCTCTACGGAGTCGTCGAGTGGAGTCATCAATCGGTCTGGAGCGGGTATTATCTTGCCGGGGCTTGAAAAAATAGCAGGCGCCATACTTGCAAGAAGTGCCAGGGCTTTTCTATTTATAAGCAAGGGCTTATGTATTTATAGAGGGGCCCCCACCGGAGGCGCTGCGCACCGCTTCGGCCTGCCTTCGAAGGTGAGGCCGATAGGGCTGACAGGACCACGGCCGCGCCGGTGCATACTTAGTTTTTGCAGATCGTAAGGGCCTACTCGATAGCAGATAGCTTTTATTTTTTCTATCTTTCTTCGGTCTTTGTTTTTGCTCGTTAGCTTACGCGTCGATCTGCTCGACCACTACAGTTTATCGAAATAGCGCCGGCGCTTTTTTCCATGCAGTGCCATTTTCGAGTTGGGGGAGTGTTGCGTAGTTCTTTGTTAAGTAATTTTATTCCGCAACTTGTTACTCTTGTCGCGTTCTAGTTTTTATCTTTGGGCAATTGAATACACGGGCGACCTTATAAACAAGGGGCGAGGACTCATCTTCAGGCAAGACCTTTCCCGAAATGATCTTAGGGTGATGACCGCTCTCGCGTTAGTAATCAGGTGCGTCACATGATAGACATGAGCGGCCCCACTTTCCCTACTACGCAAGTGATGTAGTTCTTCAGTCGTGGCCCCTTATTGTTCTTTTTCTTTGAGATGTATGAGGTTTGGGCGTTTGTAGTGATGCTACGTCGCTGCCCCAAGTAGCGCATGCTGTTACTTTTGGGCTTTTGGCTTGTTTATTAGCGGCTTTGCGCTGGGTTTCGGGGTTACTTAGAAAAACGCCAAAAGTAATGGATTACTAGTGGACTGCCGAGCCCCTTCTCGCGGAGTAGCTTTTGGGAGTCTCGGGGGGGACGGAGATCTCCTTACGCAAAAAATTAACACACAGTGCGGCCGCCGGCAGGTCGTCGGAGGCGGTGGCGACAGCTCTTGCAGGCTTGGCGTGCCCATGGTTCGGGCGGTGTCTGCGGTGGCCGCTGGTGCATGGCTTCAGGTGGTGCTTGCGTGTGGTCGCCGGGCTGGCGGAGCAGGTTTTGGGGCATGCGACTGTAGTGGCGTTGTCGCGGGGGAGGCCCCCCTCCTCGGGTGGGTTGTCGGGGC